TCAAGAGCTACAAGAAAAAAGATCATCTAATCAATGGGCACATTTTCAGCAGAAAAGTAACAAATTCATGTTTTGTGGTTACAAATAATCCAAGTTAAGTGTTTCGTATTTTTGTTGAATCGAAAGCAATGACTAAAGAAATACTTAATTTAAGTAATTGGAAGGCAGTAGATCAGCTGATACGAAGATTGTGTTCTCAACTCGTCCCTCAGTTTTTGCCTATTTTTCAGCGGAATCTCTCTGATTATTCACTGAATACAGTTCAATTGTACATCAGAACACTTGATATTTACTGTTTGATATATATTGTTTTTTAATTTTCTTTTTTTTTTCCTTTTCTTCTCTTAAGATACGCGGTATTGTCACCAAGTGATGTCCAGTAAGATGGCCACTAAGAGGACTCGTTCAGACGGCGTTAGTACCCCACGTGATTCACCAGCCAAACAAAGAACTCGCCGCTGCCTACGAGAAAGTGCTCCAATAACCACAGTGAACACTTCAGATCCAGAACCTCAGCCTCAACCAGGTACGTCTTCGCAAGAAATGGTTGAAGAATCCCCTTTCTTTACTCCAAATCCGTTCCAAGTGCTTCAGAATGACAGAGAAGTAATGGAGTCAGCAGCAATGCGTAGGGAACATAGGTCTCCTCCAATATTTGTAAAAAAATATTTAAAAAATCCAATTATTGTGTCCACTACTAAAAAAAAATCTGCACTGGCTGTTATTCTGGCCTTATCAGGACCAATAATACAAAAATAATACCAGATACTACAGAAACCTACCGAAAAATTGTGTAGTACCTTCATAGTGTCAGAAACGAATGAAAATTTCCATACGTACCAGGTAAAACAGGAGAAATTACTAGTGGTGATAAGGAATTTGCATCATTCAACCCCAACTGAAATGATAATAGAAGAACTAACGACGCTTGGTTTCAATGTACGTCAGGTAACCAAAGTTCTGAAGGAGAATAAGGAGCAGCCAGGAGTAAAAAATAAAGTTCCACTACCTTTATTTTTCGTGGGCCTAGAGACATCAGCTGGTATTGAGAAAATATACGAAATCAAAAGATTTTACAACACTACCGTGTGGCGTATGGCCACACGAAGACTTATGGCCACCACTTGCCGCGTTGCGTAAAATGTAGTGAACAACACAAATTAGCAGAGTGCACCAAACCGATACAAGATCCTACAGTTTGTGCCCTATGCCTAGAGAGACACCCGGCCAACTACAAAGGCTGCCATACTTATAAGAACCTCAAATCCAGATACCAGAAGAACCGGATTCAAGATGAGACAACCAGACCAAGAAGAGAGCCTTCTATAATTGTAAATAATAATGTATCATTCTACGAACTAATTGGAGGTAAAAACCCAACTGATAAATGTGAAGCCCTGCCGCAGCAACTACCTCAATGTCCTGTTCATCCTAACATATCTAACCATCAACAACCTCAAATTCCTCATATCCCTTCTCCCACAAATGCCATCAATGGTTACCTCACTCCTTACAAATCTCGTATTTCACCTCATTTATCCTGTGAAAAAGCCTTAAATGACTCTCATCAAACACATCTATTCTTCTTATAAATGCGAATGGTGTTTGAAAACTCATTGACGAACTAACAGCTTTACTACTAGACAAGAACATTGACGTAGAGCTAATTACAGAAACTCGACTGACCAGGAAACAGCATTTAAAAATTCCGCAGTACATAACATATCGTACTGACAATCCTGAGGATAGAGCACATGCAGGTACTGCTGTCATCGTACACCAGTCCCTTTCTCATCAATTACTCCCATTACCTACTCAAGATTTCCCACAATCCACTGCTATCATAATCAAAACCTTCTCCTTTCCTATTACCGTTGCATCAACGTAGATGTAGCCCTCCTAATCAATCCATCTCCAATGCCCAATTCAGTTTCCTCCTCAATTCGTTAAGACATCATTTCATCCTGGGTGCAGACTTAAACTCAAAGCCAACAGTGATGTTCACGAACCATGAAATCTCGTGGCAGAATAATGCCGTCTGCACTCAATTCCGTTTCAGCCTCATTCCTCCTAACTCACCTACCTACTGGCCCACTGATCCTAAGCGCAATCCTGATATCCTTGATTTCTTCATCCACAGTGGTTTAGGTCTTTACATTCTCTTTACTGCTGATATTCCTACACATCCCTCCTGGCAACATTCGCTGATGACAGCCACCCTATCTTCCAATTCAGACCCCAAAACAGCATCCTTTAACCTACAAAGTCACCTCTCTGTTATTGAACACTGGTGTAATAAGTGGCGCATCCAAGTAAATGAATCCAAATCCAAACACACCACCTTCACCCTTCGGCACAAGTCGTGTCCACCAGTTTATTTCAAATCCATACCACTTCCGCTCTCCGACAAAGTTCGGTATCTTGGCTGCCTTCTAGACGAAAGACTAACATGGAACCCACATACCAGACTTAAAGGACAGCAGCTTAACCGACGATATGGCCAATATATAGATTACTCAATAGAAAATCTCAACTTTCAGTTGAGAACGAACTATTAGTCTACAAGGCAATCCTGAAACCTATCTGGACTTACAGACTCGAACTGTGGGGGACAGCAAAACATTTTAACATCACATGCATTCAATCTTTCCAGTTTAAAGTTCTTCGAACAATAGTCGATGCTTTCTTTTATGTAACCAATAAAACCCTTAATATCCCACTTGTACTTGACCAAATTCCAGAAAAATGTTCCAAATTTCACCATAATCTCACTCATCATCCTAATCCTGTAACACAGTCTCTGTTTAGTTCCAATCATCACTACAATCCTCCTCTGAGGTTAAAACGGCAGTGGCACCGCGACCTTTTGTAAATATGTATATATTGGAGTACTGGCATTGGTCAGATTCTTTATTCAAGTTCTGAGCGTCTGTTGCTCTAGTGCCCTCCATCAGTCTCCACTGGCTTACTATACCAGTGACGCGGCAGGGAGAGAAGCACTGGGACCTTCTGGAGTCCTGCTTTGGCTTCCACATTTGGGGAACAAAGCTTTATTCAGAGTCCTCTGAGCCAATATAAATATTGTTCATAGGTGTGAATGTATTTTATTATCATTCCGCTTTATTCTGTTATCTAGTTCCACTCATCCCTACAATCCTCCTCGAAGGTTAAAACGTCATTGGCCCAGAGATCTTTTGTAACATATATCTTGGAGTTCTGGTAATGGCCAGATTCTCCACTCAAGACATGAATGTATCTGGCTAATGCGCTCTCGGTCAAACTCCACTTGCTTTAGCAGCAGTGACGCGGTTGAGAGAGTAGCGCAGGGATCCCTTTTAGTCCTGCTTATCCTTCCACTGTTGGAGGAATAAGCCTGGCTTGGGGTTCATTGCCTGATTCTATATATTTTATATAGGTATGGCTGTGTTTTTATGTTTTTAATTTACTTATCTTTAGGTACTATTCTATTTTTTATTGTACATGGTTTTTGATTATTATTTAGTTATTATATTACTTTTGTTACTTTTCTATTTTCTGTATATATGGTGTGAATTTGTTCATATATCACTATAATTATTGTCCACAGAGTATTATATTTCTAAATAAAAAAATTAAGTAATTAATAATTGCTTTATTGTAAACTAGATACTTTTTTTCTTTAAGCGGAAATAGAGTTTATTATTATTAAAACCATTTTTTTTTATTTATCTATTGAGAAATATTACAATTTGTCTCAGTTAAGGACACTTATAATAATGTTCATAGAGTAGATTCACACCCTACACAGAAACATAAATAACAGTTATGCTGCTGAAACTAGCTAAAACGTTGTTACCCGCATACTGTCCAATTGTCTGGTAATGTTGCTTCCTTTCTCGAAACATTTGTAGGATATCTTCTTCCGTAGCCCATCGGCCTCCTCCGAATGCCTTTTTCAGTTTATCCTTCACAAATCCCCCTGGGGTGTCTTCGTCAGCCTGGATCTTAATTAAGACCCTTCTCTTGACTCGACATACCAGGGCTGCTCTCAACGCATTAGCATCCATCGGATCTATCAGATTTTCCTCCTCCTTCGCTAATATACGTGATACCACCCTTAAGAAAGTGATTTAACTTACCGATTCGGCCGCCGAACCTCTCGAGATCAAATATTGCTTTTCTCTGATTCTGCAAAGTCGCGGTTCTCACCTTAACCCCTTATAGAGTATTCGCGTGGGTCACTGCAAACGTTTCCGTCGGCAATGGGGAAATCTCCGCTGCTAAAGCTTCTTACGACAGCTGAGGAACATCCGGCAGGGGAGTCAACGGTGTGACCGGTGGTTCACTTAGAACTGACGAGTTTACTATTCCTTCCGGCATCCTTTCCTTTTATTATTTCTGGTAATGTAAATTTAATCGTTTATTTAATTTAATTTAATATTATTTATTTTATTTAACCGATATATTTAATTATCTAAATAGGATTGAACACAATTTAAGTTTACCTCTAACTATAACTGATAGGTATTGTTTTTCCAGGACTGAAGAAGATCCCATTATTTATGTTAAAAAAAAAACAGGGATCGAAAAGTTTGAATAAAAAGAATAAACAGAAGCTGTTTTATCTCATTGAAGTGTAGTTCATGACCTATTATCTGACTATAATTGATATCTTAAGTTATCAAAGATAAAGGTCGAATTCTAAAAAAAAATGTATTATAGAAGAAACTAAGTTCATGAAATTAATAAAAAAAATCATCAAATATTTTAAACATCACTTCATAGGGAAAATCTATTAATCCTTTATGCAAAGAATTAGGATTGGATGAGATAACGAGAAATAAAACGCATTTAGTGCAGCAATACCCTAAAAAGGAAGTTTAGTCTGCGGTTTTTATATAAAATTAAAGATGCGACGATATTTTTGACCACTAGTTGTATAAATATATATATTTCAGTAAATATTATTATATCCATACATATATAAAACCTATATTATTTTTTTTTTTTTTTAAATTAAGACACGGAGAAAAATGGCATCAATTCAGGACCAAAGTACAGCATGCATTACTACAACCGAGAATCGCACAGCTTTATTTAAAGCCAATAGAAGAAACAGCCAACGAGTTTGTTAATAGGTAAGGTATGTTTTTATTGTTATGTGGTGGTGGATGCGTTATGGCCAAAAAAAAAAAAAAAGATAACGATAAAAAGATAATAAAATAATTTTTAATAAGTATAATTTCCTATTGGAATTATTACTCGTTGGGCCCCTGGATTTACTAGCCTTTAATCTCTAAAGAGATAAATATAGAGAATATAAGTTACTTTATTGGCCATAATAAAACATTTATGCCACCATGCTAGCTCAGGTAAGAGGTCAGATTGGATTTTTTCTAAAGCAGCAAATAAAAGGTATTTCATGCAAAGAGACCTATTTACAGACAGAAATATTTACTACATGCAAGTGACAGAAATAAAATAAAAGGAAAAAGAGAAAATTTAAACATAAGTACTGTATGCAATCTAAAGATTAATTATTCTATGTTTTGGGTTGGCAAATAAGTTTCACATTTCAAGGTGAAATATAACTCAATGTATTGTAGACATAAAATTTATTTTAATCTACAATATATTGAGAATGGAAAACCGCCTTGATACATCCACTGCATAAGAAAGGAACAAAAACAGAAGCTGACAACTTCAGAGGAATTTTCCTACTACCCGTCAGCTACAAAATTTTCTACTAAACCCACAAATAGATCCTAAAATCGGAGAATATCAGGGAGGCTTCAGAAAGGGAAGATCATGTCAAGAACAAATCCTGAGCCTAAAATTATTGATAAAATACTCCAAAATAAGGCCCAAAAAGAACCTCTACATCTCGTTTGTTGATTTTAGAAAAGCGTACGACTCAGTGGATAGAAAGACACTACTGGAAATACTAAGAGAATACGGAGTGGACCAGAAGACCAGGAAACTAATAGAATTAACACTAACTGACACCGAATCCAAGGTAAGATTCAGAGGAACCACCAGCAAATCTTTCCGGATAAGGACGGGACTCAGACAAGGAGACGGTCTCTCCCCAACACTTCAACGTGGTACTAGATAGGATAATGAAGGAACTGTGGAAAATCAATGATGTGGGTGCAAGTATAGGGACCAAAAACAACCACGTCTAGGTAAGGTGTCTTGCCTACGCAGACGATCTTGCACTTTTAGCGAAAACGGAAGAAGAGGCAATCGAACAAATAAATACACTGACGGAGATAGCCAAAAAAGCGGGTCTCCAAATCTCCTACGAAAAAACAAAATTAATGACCACAGACGCAGACTTCAAGAAAAAAACAGTGGAAACCAAATACGGGTCAATAAATGTAACAAATAAATTTAAGTACCTGGGTGAGACTATATGTAATAATGGTTCGGAAAAAGAAAGTATCAAGGAAAGAATAGCCAAATTGGAAAAACTAACTTTTCCAATCAGTAACATATATAACCAGAGAAACCTGTCCACGGAAGCAAAACTACGACACTACAATACAGTTGTTAAACCTGTGATACTATATGGGACAGAAACCACATGCCTCCCCAGTCTGGAAAAATTGTTGAGAACAGAGCGAAGAATTCTAAGAAGGATTTACGGCCCCAAAAAGACAAAAGAAGGATATAAGATCCAATCAGGAAATATACAAGGACAAAAGAGATCTAGAAACGGAAATAAGGATCAGGAGACTGAAATTCCACGGACATATGGTAAGAATGGCCCCAGAAAGACTTAATAAGGAAATATTCCAAAAAATCCGTAGATACAAAAGCTTGGGAGGATACATCAGGCAGATGAAGGAAGAAACGGAAAGACTTGGAATAACGGACCGGGACTGTCTGGACAGAGAGGGGTATGGTAAGAGACTAAAGGAGATCACGGTTCTTGCTAAGAAGAAAAGTTCGAGAAAGGGAGTCGCGTGGACGGAGGAGAGAAAGCGGCGGCACGCGGAGATAATGAGAGAGAAGTGGAAAGAAAGGAAAAACAAGAAAGAAGCCAAATATCATGATATTCGCGTGGTCTCTATGGCCGTTCCGTGAAAAAAAAAAATATTGGCCATTATTTAATATGACTTTTTCCCATATTTCCACCAACTGCATAATGGCCATGTATGGAGTATATTGTTAAAAAACGAATTCAAGTGGTTTTTGATGGCCTCTTCCTTTTGGAATTTCTTTCTATTCATGGAGTTCTGCAGAGACCAGAATAAGTGGTAGTCACTTGGAGCTAGGTCTGGTTAATAAGGAGGGTGGGGCAAAAGGTCCCATCCAACACTCAATAATTTCTTGCAAGTGACCAATGAGGTGTGGGACCTATCGTTGTCTTGGTGGAACACAACAATTTTTTTTAATTGATTGATCCAATTTTGTTAATTGTGATCAGTATAGAGTTGAATCAATTGTTTGTCCTAATGGCAATAGCTCATAGAAAATAACAGCCTTGAAATCCCACCATATGGGAAGCATTATTTTCTTTTGATGCAATCCGGGGTTTGAAATTCTTCTTGTAACCTCACTACTGGGTCCCCAAGGTTTTCTACGAACTACATTATAGTAAAATATCCATTTTTCATATTCTGTTACCAATCTTTTCAAAAATGGGTCGTTTTGTTTCCGTTTCCGCAGTGAATCACAAAAGTTTTGCCAAGTTGACTTCAGTTAGAGAGGGAGGGACCCAAACATTAAGCCTGGAAAAATAGCCGAGCTTGTACAAATGATTTTCTAGGCTTGTTTGCGACACATTTAGGGCCATAGCAATTTCTTGCACTGATTGGGTGGGATTTTGACCATCAATGGCCTTAACATTGCTTCTTTCAATTTCATGTGGGCGACCAGATCATTGAGCATCATTGATGTCAAAATTTCCTGAATGAAATTTGACAAACCAATTTTGACAAGTGCGTTCGATTAAGGCATTATTCTCTTAAACGCTGCAAATTTTCCTGCAGCACGCTTCCTTTTTTAAAAATAATGCAATGACAATAATGAATGATATTTTCTTCCATATTCACAGTGCAATAGCAAAAACAATACTAAGCTAGTTTCAACAAGTGTTAACAGATATAGTTGTTGACATATTACAAAGAGGATAAACAATCCACCTTAGGGATTAATTTATCAGATAAGAAGTGTATCACAGTGACATAAAAATAAACAGAAAAACCGAAAGGACTTATTTGCCAACAAAATACGATGGTATGGCGTGCTACATCTTAACATACAAGAAATCTATAGTCCAGAGCACATGCACATGTCTAGGAATTAATCTGTCCCAGGAAAACAAAAGAAAAACAGGTTCTATTTTTTTCCAACGCTTCATTAATTCTGGTAACACCTCTTCTTCTTCGGGTAACACCTCTCCTTTGAGGAGTCTCAAGCTGTAAGTCAGGATTAAGTTTATTGTCAGTTATTCGAAGTCTTTGGAGAACGAATCCGAATGTTCTTCAAATGTAGCTTTGGCGATGACTAGATACGTCATCAAGATACGTGAAGCTCCAGCTTGCTTGGGAATCTGGAATGATGATTTTTTCCAACAGCCGATGAAATGTCCCTGGAGCCCGACAAAGTCCCAAGAGAAGTTTTAGAAGTCTTTTAAAATGAAATAGACTAATATTATTAAAACGAAATAGACCTCTTCCTAAAACGACAAAGGCAGTTATTTCCTTCAAGGGACCTTGGTGATAGGCGTGTGCCAAACCAATATTGAATAGATGGCGATAAGCCTAAAAGTGATCCAACAGTGAGGACATATAAGGAAAAGAATATAAACCTGGCTTAAATACTACATTAATCATGCGGTAGTCTATGCCAAAACGATATTTACACGTTGGCGTTTTCCCCGTTACCACAGGGCTAGACAAAAAATCATGAAAAGGCTCTATAATGTCTTCCTGAAGTATCCGATCAACTTTCTGTTTGATAGCTTCTTGAACTACTGGTGAGACGAGAGCCCTTTGTTTCATTGGTTGGATCTTCCTGACGTCGATATGTTGTTCGGCAAAATTGATAAGTCCAACGGAATCTTTGGGGTTTGTCAATTCTTCCTGCAACACTTCATTCAATCCTCTGTCCTCTTCTGGCTCGAGTAAACTAATTCTCGCTATTTGCTCATGACAAATCCAAGGTTCCTTAGAAAAGCTAGCTCGATTTGAAGGCATATCTTTAGACCACCATGACCCTTCAGCAGCACCAACTACTACTCCTAGTGCTCTTGCGGTGTCCATCCCCAAAAGGCAAGAAACTGTTAGGTTGGGAAGAACATTAAAAGATATTTAAACTTGAAGGCCGTTCAAGCTGGCTAAGACGGCTACAGCTTTGTTAACTGTCTCAAGCGCTACAATCGCCACCTTGCCAATATAAGAGGTGACAGATGTAAGCATGATGTGTTCTTGAGGTAAAGATGAGAGTCCTGAAAGAACTAATGTAAGAATTATTGGATCCTGTGTCAATAAGCGCTGGAAGATTAATTTTATCTACACCTATTGTAACGAAAAATCTACCTTCCGTGAAAGATAAGGTAGAAAGATTGTTGACCTCTTGAGATTGTCTCTGGTCGATGAAACAGGGTCAGTAGCGATCTCCTTAAACTGGCCATCGGTTTCGTCTTACAGTTGGGGCAATATTTCTTGGTGATTCCACGAGTGCCGCAACTATATAACAGGTGAGAGTTGTTCTGGGATTACAAAACTCCTGATAACAGTGTCCTATTTAAATGCAGTTCCAGCAAAGGAGTTGTACTGTTGCCAGTTCCACTTTTTTATGATTCAATGTAAAGCATGATGGTCAGCATGAGGGCTCAAGCTTCTTAGTTCTGGGTTCTAGAGGTTCTGGAGAAGCCCCTTCCTTATCATTTTTATTGGTTTTCTTCGTTATAGTCTTCACTGCTCTTCTTAACTTGTATGCAAGATGCTTGAGGAGATTCATAGGCAGTTTCAGGGAAAGCGCTATTACTTTTAGTCGGAGGTGCTTGAAAAGCCTTGGCTCTATCTTTGATCTTCTCCAATTCCCGCCTCAATGCGACCAGTTTAGCAATGGATGTCCCTTCAGATCTCCTAATGTATGATTGTTCAATCGAGACAAAAGATTTTCA